TCAATGATAAAGTTCCAAAGTAAAATGCTGGCAACTAAGAAATATTAAATAAAATGCACTGCAAGCCAAAGCAAATATATCTGTGTACAGATCTGGCCAATGGGGTACCTTTGTACAGTCTCCTCTTTGGAGTGTGAGAGAGGGTGGCTTGAGTCTGGCTCTGGGTCTCATTGGTAAACCTTCCCAACACTCAGTTTTTCTCATTCATAAAGTGGTGGATGATATAATAACTTATTTTCATTTATTTGGAAAAAGATTAGGCATATTTTTTCATGTCATTAAATGAATATATGTAAAGTATTTCCCAGTGTTTGCTACCTTAGTTGCACTCAGTAAATGGCTCTTATACTGGCCAAAATTTCAACATTTTCTTCCAAAATAATCAACAAGTACATCATCTTAGCAACAAAAACATTGCTGTGTCCACAATTGTCCTTTAGGTGCAGTGTGTCTATTAGTGTACAAAGGCATGTGGCTAAGATGACAACAGAGATTTCAGATTCATATAGGTGAAGCAAATAGCAAATGAACAAGTAAGTTAATGAGACGAAAGAGTCAGGGAAGAAATGCTTGAATTTATTCATAAGTGTCTGATGCAAGTCACATGGGGGAAGTATTTTTGCCTTTTCCTACTGATCAGATTGTTCTTCAAGAGATCAGATTTCAAAATTGAGTAATCTGAAGAGATTCCTTGGTGAGTTAGCATGAGACAAATGTCCAGATAGAGAGAAGAGTGTTTCATATACACATGAAAGTTGAGCAGAGGGGAAAAGATGATGGCTTAAGGATCTTGGGGAACAATTGTATTGTGACTAGGGAGTTCTCAGTACTGAATAATGTGAGGCAATGTTCTGTCGAACTCCTTAGATTTGGCTTCCTTTGTACAAGGTGTCCCATCTGCATGGCTTGAGAGGTACCTCCCACTTTCTAGCTCAGTACTTATTTCTTTTGACCTTTCCTATGGTGTTTTCAGTTGGTTTAAGTCAACATGCTCCTCTGTTCTTTTCTACAATCTTCCCGACTCATCTTTGGTTTATCTGACTTCTCTACTGGTTTGGGGGATGAGAACTCTGGAAAAAGAGATAATGAACAATTGCCAGTTTTTCACAGGAAGTTTAGAGTTTCATTGTTACTCAATTATGGAGTCACAGACCATCTTCAGTAGCTGTTAAATGCTTATGTAAGGAAAGTTGGCCTGGCCTCTTAGACTATGCTTCTCTTGACTTTGACCATTCTTGTCTGGCATTTCTTATGAAAATAATATTGTGTTTTAATTAGGCTAAACTTATTCCAGGATTTTTTTTTTTTACTCTTTAAAAAAGAAATACTGTACCTTGTGATTAACTGTTCACAAAAATGAAGAGGGGTAAGAAGACTGATTTCTTCCAAAAATCTGTTACTTTAACTCAGCAGGAATAAAAGCATAAGCTGATTTGAAATATAATAACTAACAAAATACATAGATTTGTAAAAAAATATTTCTAGATTGTAATGTATCTTTTTTACTTTTAGCTATTGTGAATGTAGGTAATCTATCTCCCTATCTACTTATCAACTGTTTCTCTTTTGGAAAGTTAACTTAACCATGTTTTGTTTTGGCTTCCTTTATGATATGTAGGAAAGGGTGGGGGAACTACTTATAATAGCACATAAGTTAGAAGATTTAAATAGGCTAATTAATGTATAGAAAATTCTTTTCTTTTGTGGTGGAAGGGATTGAACCCACCTCGTCTTGTGCATACTATGCGAGTACTCTACCACTGAGCTATATCCCTAGTCTTGAAAAGTTCTCAGAGTACCTGATATGCAGTAAGTATTGAATAAATGTTAGCTATAATTATGAATAGTATAACAATTATGATTGGGAGTGAGAAGGTATGATCTTAAAGATATGATTAAATTGAGTTAGCTTTGGTCTGAAGTGCTCAGGTGGTTGAGTTACTACTAAACACTCTTGATTATCCCCTGTCTTCAGGGATGTTAGCATGGGTAACACTTTGAGTCTTTGTACAGGTTGCAAATGCCCCAAGAACCCAAGTGGGAACTCACAGTACAGAGATGTTTACTGTAGCCCCAGCCTGCTCATCCACATTCTTCTAACTCAGTGGGAGATTTTCTTCAAAGAAATATTCAAAATTCTGTACATCTGCTAAACACTGTTTTAGGAGCTAGCACCTTTTTGAAGAATAGTTGTTCATGAATAAAGTACAGAAGTATCTTTCCTCCTCCTGATTATCAAGGACATTCAAGTAGTTCTTGAATTGCTAGAGAATATTTTACAGACTGTAAAGTTAGAGAATACAGCACGCAGATTCCCTTTTCTACTGGTTTAATGGATATTTCCAAGCTCATATGAAGATATCAGAAACTAGGTCTCCTGTACATACATGTCCATTGAAGTTTCTGGTAGTTTCTGGATACAATCACATTAGTCTTGCTTATCCATAGATAGCTTATCAGGTTAAATAACGTAGTTTTGGATTTAATTGCCAACTTGTTACTTTAATAGTAATTCCGGGCAGGAAAAACAGAGCAAAAGGCGTGCCTAGTGTTACTGCTGTCTATAAAAACAAATTGAATCCTTAGGGTTTAATTAGAGGAAGTATAATAACACCTAAAGCATGCTAATGTTAAAATAAGAGCATTGGACATCAGGAAGATGAGTCTGAGTTTGGTCACTTGCCTTTGAAAACTAAATTCACTAAACTGTGACTGTCCAAAGAACGGTGATGCTCCCACTTGGATTTACACGCAGGCAGAAATGGAGAAGGGGAATGTGAACTATGCAAAGCAGAACAGTTCAAGGGAAAGAAATGACGTAGGTATTTAAACCCACAAGGAATCTAAGATAATGACTGGCTTATTTGGCGTTAACATAAGGAGAAGTCATCTAAAATGAAGAGCAGGTACATGAACAGTTTACTCTTCTATGACAAGAACCCCACTTGGCCTCTGGAACACACAACCATACAGGGTATCAGTCAGTGTCAGCATTTGTTTAGGAAAAGAATGAATGAAGGACCATGTGTCATTACATAGCTTCAGTGGAAACAGTCAGAAAAGGAACATACAGATTTGTCCCCCTTTTTCTATGGAAGGTGGCTCTAAGCCACCTAGTAGATACCCGAAACCATACGTTGCTCTACATAGGTTACATTTTTTTCCTTTACATACATATCTGTGATAAAGTTTAATTTACCAATTAGGCACAATATAATATTGACAGCAATAACGAATAATAAAATAGAACAAATTATGACTATACTGTAACAAAATTTATGTGACTATTCCTCTCCCCCGAAAATATCTTATTGGAATATACTCACCGTTCTTGTGATAATATGAGATGATACTATGCCTACATTATGAAAAGTAAGGTAAATAATACAGCTACTGGGATGTAGTATTAGGTCATTATACAAACTTTGCTTAAACACAAACACTACAATACCATGATACTTAATCTGATAACTCCATTGACTACTAAGTGACCAATGAGCAGGTCAGTTATCCTGCCCACTTATGGATGATTCATGTTTGAGGTGAGGTAGAGTAGAAGGGGGAGAGATTTCGTCATGCTACTTAGGATAGTACACAATTTAAAACTTATAGGTTGTTTACTTTTGGAATTTTCCACTTATTATTTTCAGACCATGGTTGACCATAGGCGATTGAAAGTGAAACTGATGATAAGACAGGAATACTGAATAGCAAAAGTCATAGAAACAGCTATTTGAGAGCATCATGTATCATTTTTATCTCTCACTTTTTCAGCAAAGCCAAATAACTTTATATACAGGATTGTAGCCTGTTCTCCACAATGCATTAGAAAAACCCTTGTTTCCATTTTTTTCTTTCCAAAGGTGTGAAAAAAAGAGAATGGTTTTGTTTGTTCTTTACTTGGTTTTAAGAATAACTTTGAGAAAATTGTCTTTGTTCTCTGTAGCAGATAATCCCATTGATAGCTAGCTTTGTATAGTCTAGGAATAAAATTTCAGGTTTCTTAGAACATTATGTCTCTCTCTCTCTGTCTTCCCCTAAGAAGTGCAATGTCTGTAAGTTGTTAGTAATCAACTCTACATAATGTAGCAAAATTTTTATTTATATAATTTAGATTACTCTAGAGTAAAACACAGTTTAAGTGCATGGTCTAGAGGCAATAGTCAATGGAGTGGAAAAGTAGTAAAAGGCTGGTCTGGAAGGTTTAATAACTATGTTTGCTCAGTCCACTGCAGTGTACTCATTCCTTAGGAGGCACAGATGAGCCAAGGCAGGTGTGTGTACAGAGTGAGGCAATTCACGAATACTCAGCCATGAAATGGAAAATCAAAATGAAATAAGCGTGACTGTAATAATATCAATCTTTTAGTATTCAAATATTAGTAACCATTTCTCTTTGAGAGACACTGCTGAATATTTACTGATAAAATGATTTTAGGATAAGAAAATGTTCAAGAAAGGTATTTAAGCTGGGTTTAGCTGACATGTGGTTTGCTTAATTCAGGGTAATAGTTGACCAATTAAAATAAAATTCCCTTCTAAATGTGTCCTTTAATTAAGATCCTTTGGAAAAAATTTCTAAAGTGCATTATAACTTTTCATAAGGGTGCCACATGGTCCTGTTTTCTAAAGACTTTGATTTAATATTTGAATGCAATGGTATTTGACTTTGTTAGTATAGAATATTTAAACTTAAAAGAAAATACCTTAATTTGCTTATGCATAAGCCTATTAAAAACATTTCTAGGGGCTCTTGTTATGTTTATTGTCGAAAACATAACCTATCTTTGAAGTGGTATATTAGTTTTTAAAAAGTCATTCCCAAGCTGAATAATTAGACTGCAAACAAAAGCTATTCTTAGAGTGTATTCCACATATAAAGCTATGCACATGATGCTTTGATTCAAATAATATTCTTATAAAACTTTGTTATTGTTAGAGGTCTATATTCAGAATAGCAACTTTTGTTTTTGATGATTATTCCATCCTGAAACAATTTCCCTCCTGTCCAATTAAACCAGAATTAAGAGCACATTTATATCTGATGAGGCTTAAACATTTTAACCACCTGCTTCAGAAATGAAGACCTCCAGTGGTTGTGTTCATTTTGTCTCTTCATGGAATGCTCAAAAGAAAACAGAATCAATCCCCTTAAGTTTTTCTGGAAGAAAAAAGGTTGCTTTTGTTGCTTTGATTTTAGCATGCTGTGTATTTTTTTATTGGCTGTGAAATATAAAAAGGCATAGCCTCATCTGGTTTTCTGCTATATTCTTATATTGCAAATCATATAATGCCTCCCAACATAAAGTAAAATGCCTAAGTCCAAATCTCATTTCAAAATGGATTTATCATTACAGTTGATAGAAAGATTTCCAGGGTATGAGAAAACTATATAATGGTCTGATTAATATGCCACAGACTGCTAAAAATATATTCATGCATTTTAGACAATGAATTCCAGGATATAGATATGCATTCATGCTATTTTAGATGCCTCATTGTACCACTGCAAGAGGCTGTTTTAGTTAATGTAACAGCTGGTTAGGTTATTGCTTTGACAATATGATCCATAATGCCAAAGCAGCTCTTTTCCAAACATTTTAAAGCAACTCAAGTTGTTTACATGTCTCCATTAGATGATTTTCCTATAACTTTGTGCCAATTGCTGTCATACTATTCAGTTAAAAAAAATTCCTTAAATCAAGACAACTGCACTTAGTTAAATTTCCCTCATACAGAGAATTAGAGAAAAATTAGAGTAGCTGATTTGAGGCCATCATCATTAAGTGAACACAGGGCTTTAGAAAATGGGTGCAAACTACAAAAATGGAGTTGTGTAATTAAACATCAAGTAGTCCAAGTAATAAAAGTCATAGATTAACTGTCTCTCAGTTCTAGTCAGATCCTTCAAGTATTGTCTCACCACTTGAGTATTGGTTCTTTCGTCTGAAGAGTGCCTATCTTTGAAGTTTGGAAATCTCAACTCTTTTGGAGCACCAATCAGCTGTAAAAAGTAATTGGCATCTTCTTCCAAAGTTTCAAATTTCCCTACAAAATCATAGTTGATCAAACATGGATAGCAGAGTTTGCTGACCTTTTCCCAGTGAATGTCCATTCCTACTGGACGGTGAGAATCCAGCAAATAGTGGACAAACTCTCTGAATTTGACTCCAGAACCATCATTTAATGCTTCCTCACAGGCATTTGATCGATATTTCTTTATAATTGCCCTTCCAAATACTGGATGATAATAGCTATTGGGATGTTCAAATTTGTCCCTAAATGCTGACACTAATCTTTCCATAGGATCACGAACAAAGACAGCTTTGGTGTAGGTATTTAAACGAGTATAGATCCCTTTTAAATCAAAGCTATCTAGCTTTTTCAAATACTTTCCATAGTGGACGGCATCATGGGAAATATTGTATGTAGAGGAAGCCAACCCACTTAGTACCATAAGAATCCTTTTCCAATTAGAGCAGCCAGCCTTTGGTACTTCACAGTATAAGATTTTGTGTTTGTCTTCTACATAGATCCTGGATACCACATGAAAAAGATGTGATTGAGGACGACTCACTCCAGTGTATTTCTTGCAAAACTCCTGAAGAAAGGACCTACGTTTCTCTTGGGTCACATCAGTTTTCTTCCATTTGTTGTCTTTAACTAAACTTTTGTTTAAATGTCGAATGTCCGATGACCAATTCATCTCGCCGAACTTCTTGAAAAGAGTCTTAGTTTCTTGATGATTTTCAATCAAATTATTTGTAGATGATCCTGTAATCTTTCCCAAAGCTTGATTCTCTCCTTGTGGATGGCTAGTCTTTGCTAAGACCCTAGTAGGCCTCCCAGAGTTAAGTAGATTTCCCTTTTTTTTCTTCAGATCCCCAGGCATGTGAAACATGGAATTCTGTTAAAAAAGAAAGAAGAAATGTTAAATGTACACTTACCACTGTGGATACAGTAAATAAGTAAATTAACATGTTTGTTTTAAAATACTACTGAGGAGAGTATATGTCATATAAACTTCCATAAACAATTTAGCAAGGCATGTTGTATATATATTTTATAGTAAGCTTCTTCATAGAAGACCTAACAATGGGAAACAAGCTCCATGGGATGGAGAGGAAAAGGCCCTGAATTTTTGTCCTGAGGTTGTTGTAATGAAATAAAGTATAACTCAATTCTGCATTTATGTAGTTTTTTGAGCTATTAATGAGAATATTTCTTTCAAGTACTAAGTTAGCTAGTATTATATGAATATGGATACAAAATGGAGTTGTGTTTGGATTGAAATTTTTTGGGGGGAGGCACAAAATAATAATAATTATGCACAAAATAGTGCAGAGTCATAGATTATAGCCTAAAATTTTGTCAAGGCTAATTATTAAACTTTGATGACCATTTATCTCAATAGTTTAATAACTCTAGTCATAATGTCATATGATTCATTCATGTGTGAGACTGTCTGTCTTTTCCAAGTGAAGAATGACTAAGGAATCCAGAAAAGTCTAGTTGATGTTCTGCTGTGTTAAATTATACCAGAAATGCAAAGAGATTTTAGTTCTCTTGCATGAAAGATGAGTCAGCCCAATTACCTTATTCTTGTCATCTGACTACTTCCTTCCTACAACTCTTGTGTTGGCTAGGAAAGGGAAGCTGAGGTTTACAAGGTAGCATCTTCTGATAAGGCCCCAAATTGTAAGGACTTTGACTTTTACTCTGGGTTAACTAAGGAGCCCTTGATATGCTCTGGCCAGAGAAGTAACATTTCACTTAAACTTGGAAAGAATGATTATGGACAAGACTGGACTGGAGATAAATGTGCAGGGTCTTCAGCATATTATTGGAAAATTGAACAAATAAATAATGTACTTTGGTGGTAATGCATGGTGCCACCAGTGTAGAGGTAGAGTAAGTGGTAAGAAAATTTCCTATGTTTACCAGTTGTATCCCCAGTATCTAGAACAGTTCATATCTGATTGTAATTGATCTCAAATTTTTAGAATGAATGAATAGAACTAGGTCTTTAAGGATAACTAAGAATTTTCTAGAGAAATGAGCAAAAAGAAGAGGAATGAAGCACTGGATGGAACCACCACCAGGCATTATGAACTTTAAGGGAGCTGCTTCTTTCCAGTGCAAAGGGACTGTGTGAATAATCTTGAATCACCATACACAATCAATATAGTCCAAAACAGAACTGTCCAAATTTATATTATTGAACCATCTGTTTGGGATATTAAACTCTAAAATCATTTATCAGCTGTCTTTTCTAGAGATTGCCATGGTGTGTTTAAAGCCTGTGTCCTTCTTTGTCCTAATCAATGATTTATAATCCATAAAGTCACCAATAATAGACACTTTGCCAGTAGTCTTGAAACATCATAGGGCTATTGGTAGACATGTACAGGAAGTGCTTATCACGGCCCTGAAATACAACAGCAATGATATTTTTATCACTACTTCTTTTATTACCACTGAAATAATAATTACCATTTTTATTATTTGGATAATACTAATTTATCCCAGTGACGGCGAATTTCAAGGTTCTCAAGTTGTCCATTATTATCCATATTATAGTTTGTATCTCTGCATATGTTGTAGTCAGTTCTCTTCTGTGCTCCACAAGTACAAAATCAGCCTACCCACTTTCTGCTCTGTGATCATCAAATTTCCCTTTCATCTCCAGGAACCTCTGAAATGTTTGTTTACCATGTCCTTCTCTAAATGAAACCTGGTTGCCCCCAGACTCTATTTGCCTTGCATTTTCAGTATATGAAACTTCACTTCCTGGAACCATGGGCCCTCATGTCAGAAGGTAGGGAGTTGTTTCTTTGCAGTCCACTCTACTCCCAGCAGTACTTCTTTGCTTCTGAGAAACACATATGTCCTGAAGAGCTCCCCTTTCCCCCTTATCCCTACCACTGATCTCTTTTCATGCACTGAAAACTTTGGCTTCTAACTCAGACTTCACTTCATCACTTCTTTGGTATTACATGTGATGACTGATACTGATAAACTCAGTTCCTTGAACTCCTGCCTTTAACAGAAGAGTTCTCCACTTTACCTAAACCTTGGCCATCATCAGAGACTGTCCCATCTCCATCATCTCTCAGTTCACCATAGCCTGACCTTCTAGCTCATTGTTATTTCCCATTTTGCATTTCTTGACCATTTTCATTACATTATCTAAGTTCCTAGCAGTAAGCACAACAGGTTCTTCATTCTTTAACTCTCAGTTAGAAAGTCACATTTGTAAAGATAGCTAAGATCCTAAGACATCTATCTATTCTGTCTAAGATGTTTCCCAGAATTCTCTCCCATAGCACCTGCCCCCACCCCCTCCCTTACCACCCACCCCACGCCCTCCCTCTCTCCCCACCCCCTTGATACCCGGCAGAAACTATTTTGCTCTTATCTCTAATTTTGTTGAAGAGAAAGTATAAGCAATAATAGGATCTTCCTTGTTTTCTATGTAGTTAGCACAGTGCCTGGCACAGACATGAAGATCAATAAATAACTGTGGAATAAGTAAATGTGGTGATGATTTAATGATGGGCTTCCATACAATAGTTTTATGACCTTGTTGAAAAAAAATAATGTTCATGCAAAGGTCAAGGTTAGATAAATAGTTAACTAATTCTTGTTAAGCACTGAAAATCTGTGTTTAAACAAATCTTTGGCAGAAAAGAAAACAAATAAAACAGGCACATGCAGAGCTGCTTGTGCTAAAGTGGGTGTGGAGGCATATAGCCTTACCTACATGCCAAATCAGATTGGTTCAAAGTCACTCAGAGCTGCCTTGTAGCACCTGGAGGTTTTGTCAGCATTTGAGATTCCCAGGCCTTATTGTGTAGACATACAAACCAGAGTCTATGAGGCTCTGGCTTTAACTTAAGCAAGGTCCCCAGTGTTTCACAGGCACTGTTTGCTTTAGGGAACCATAGAACTAGAGTTAAATAAAGGAATTTAAGAAAATAAGGGACAAGTTCTGAAAAGTTCCTCTCCTCCCATCCTGGGCAAAAAGACGAAATGGTGGACTTGACTTTTTTTAAAGAGTCAGAACTTGAATGTCATATCAGTCCTTGCTAAGATCAGATGAAATGTCTTTCCTGTTTATCCACTATCCTTTGCTGGAAGTCCATTTCACCAAGCTGCTAAGGACTAGTTTAACTAGGGTGATGACTGGCCAAGGGAAAGTTTCCTCACTCAGACTTCAGTCTCCTCTTAGATTATTTAGTGCTAGTCAGTTTCTTCCACTCTCACCAAATTGAGATATGGGTAAAGCACTCATGTCTAAAATGATGCCATAGTACCCCATGAGAACTCTTGGGTGGCCATGAGACCTTTTCCTAGAACCCCTCATGTTACTCTCAGTCACCTTATAACCTTTGTTATCAGGATATGATGGCATTCCTCCCTCCCTATCTTCACTTTCTCCATTTCTTTCTGCCAAACTTTCCAAGACTGAAGAGTTTGGATGCTAAAATCAAGGTGAATGACACCTTACATCTGACGCTGTGCCAGTGAGTTCCTTCCAGCAGCATCACCAAAATGACCACGGCAGTAAGAATAACAGAAACAAGAACTCTTACATCTCCATTTTCCTTGGGGCACCTCATTCTGGTTGTCCCTTAAGACAAACACCTATAAAGCCACAAACAGCTTCTCCTGAGTTCTTTTTTATTACTGAAATGGTCCTTTTACTTTCTGGTCACCCACTCACAAAGTCTGAGAAATGCTTTAACAATTGGAAAGTAAATGGGCTATTTTACATTTCATAATGTCTCTGTCTTTTATCTTTTAAAATTTATTACTTCTTAATTAGATATGACTAAATTAGCCTTCCCAAAACACGTTATTTTTCATCTGTTTGCATTTTGGCTTGACTCTTCTATCTGTAAAGTCCCGATTCCTTAGATGACAGTTGCCACCTGCCTCTATTGGGCCTCCTCTCCTTGTGATTTTTGCAATTCTTTTGAACTTATTCTGCCCATGTTGTTGGCATTCCCACCCATCCCCTCCCCATTTCTTGAGACATTCAAAATTTTCTAGGTCAATATAAAAATCCTAGTTTCTTCAAGAACATCACCCAGACCTCCAGTGGGTAGTCCCACTCCCTTCAAAATAACTTTAGCAACTCATCTGTACCCTTGTGAAGAAAGTAATTTTATTCCAGTTTGCATTTGCTGTGTGGTTTTTCTTTGGAGAAATACTTTTAGCCACAACTTAATTGCAAGTCATGGCTATAATTTTCCATAAATACCTTCAAAGAGTGAGCATTGAAAGTTAATTGAAAAATATGTGACTATGCATGAAAACAGGGAATATTCAAATAAGTTAAATGGTAAAAAAGTGTGGGATAGTCATTAACTCTGAAATAATTTTGAAAGCTTCATTCTTGTTATTTTTTCAAGGTCTCTGTATCAAGTACATCTACACTGTGAATTCTTCTCCAATCTTCGACATTGACAGGAATTGCTCTTCTTTTCTCCCATCAAAGTCATATGGGACCAAGTACACCCAGGTTAGTATGCCGGATAAGACAAGTGAGGCCTGTGCCGATATGGAACTGATAACCTCTCAGGGAAAAAATATACTTAACAAGTAATAAATATTAATTCGTACATTAGCAGAATAGCAAAGACTCCTGTATGTGCTCTCAGAGTCTGGGACAGCAGAAATGGGAGTGCAAATATAAAGACAAGACTGGCCCAGTTTAAGTGCTAAGTTCTCTTTAGAATTTTTGTGTACTCTAGTTAGCTGTTTAGGTGACTATCTCTGCAATTTATTTTAATCTTACTAAATGTCAGTGTGCAATCTTACAAATCTATAAGCATTGAGAATACAATCTTGCACAAAAACATAGGTTTAAATTTAATTGAAGTAGAAAGGTAATATCATTCA